TATTTCCATTTTAAACCTTGTTTTCCTGTTGATTTTATATTCTTTTGTCCCTTTTTCTTTTTCCTTTTGTGCTTTGATGCTTTTCTTTTGTATTATGCTTATGGTTTTTTCTTTTTGATTTTTGTGACTCTGTTGTATGTTTTTGATTTGTGGTTGCCCTGTTTTTCAAGTTATGTTAACCCCTTCATTTACCTACTTGCTTTAGACTAGTAGTCACTTAGGCTCAAACACATTCTAGAAAAATAATTGTGATTTTCTCTTTCCTATAGATTCTTACTACTTTTCTATTTAGAGAAGACCTTTCAATATTTCTTTTAGGATAGGTTTAGTATTGCTGTATTTTTTTAGCTTTTGCTTGTCTGAGAAATTCTTTCTTTCTCCTTCTATTCTAAATGATAATCTTGCCAGGTAGAGTGTCCTAGATCACAGATATTTCCCTTTCAGGACTTTGAATATATCTTGCCACTCCCTTCTGGCCTGCGACGTTTCTGTAGAGAAATCAGCTGATAGCCTTATGGGGGTTCCCTTGTCATTAACTCTGTGTTTTTCTCTTGCTGCCTTTAGAATCCTCTTTTTTATGTTTAACTTTTGACATTTTTATTATCATATGTATTGGTGTAGGTATTTCTGGGTTTATCTTGTTCAGGACCCTCTGTGTTTCCTGTATCTGCATATCTGTTTCCTTCTTTAGCTTTGGGAAGTTTTAAGCCATAATTTCTTCAAATACGTTTTCAGTCCCCTTTTCTCTTTCTTCTCCTTCTGGGATCCCTATTATGTGTAGATGGGCATGCTTTACATTCTCCCATAGGTCTCTTGTATTGCTTTCATGTTTTTCACTTGGCTTTCTGTCTGATGTCCTGATTGGATGATTTCCTTTACTATATCTTCCAGATCACTTATTCGTTCTTCTGCATTATTTATTCTGCTATTCATAGCCTTTGGTTCTGCTTTTGTCTCAGCAAATGAATCTCCTAATGTTTCTTGACTCCTCATTATAGTTTCTAGTTCCTTTTTTACAGTAATCTGCATTTCTATCGATAGCCTTTCTTAGTTCCTTCAGTATTTTCATTATCTCCTTTTTGAACTTGGTATCTATTAGACTGAAGAGGCCTGTTTCATTGTTTGTTCTTTCAGGGGAATTCTCTTGATCTTTTCATTGGGAGTGGTCCCTCTGCTTCTTCATTTTACTTATATTTCTCTTGCTCTATGAGTTTAGGAGAAACATTATCTACTGTGGTCTCGGAGGGCTATTTTTATGTGGGAGTGTCCCTGCGTAGCCTGCATGGGTTTAATATTTTTTTGGGGGCAAGGGCTGTTTTCAGTATGGATGCCTGCTGCCTCTTTCCTCAGTGTGTGCTGGCTGTCATCCCCTTGACAGGAGATGCGACTGGTGTTGCGGTGACCAGAGCCTGCACTGGACAATGAGTGGGGACTCCTCTTCCCTCTGTGGTTATCACTGCCCTGTCCAGGGCAGGGTCTGCTCTCTAGTTGTTGGTGTAGAAGCCCCTAGCTCTGTTTCTGATCTGCAGTGCAAGAATAGGCGGGATTGGAGCGCTCCCACTGGGAGAGGAGCCACTGAGTATTACTGTGCTGGAGCTGTTCACCTGTGAGTGTGTCACCTTTCACCTGCTGTGCGGGCTCACAGAGTACACTGTTGTTGGCACTGCCCTCAGCCCCACCTCAGCTCTGGGTGTGCTGGCAGTCAGCCCTGGTGCCTCTCAGGCTTTGTTTTCACAAGGCCACCAGCGTAGATCCACTGAAGTCAGGTCCCAGGACTGTAGTTGTTACATACCTGGACGCACTGTGGGAGCTATGGATGCAGCTCAGACCCTGGCCCAGCCCAGCCCCTGCGTGTACGTGCCCACAAAGCCCACAGCTGCTGAGGCCAGACCCGTCCCAGCTGCGGGAGCACCAGTTGTCTGTTTGGTTGCTCCACAGGCACTGAATTTACAAAGTCGGCCATGGAGGTATAAATGCAAGGTTCACGCAGCCGTGGGGAGAGATTTCAGCTCTGCTTCCTAAGTCACACGGCCTGTGGGCCTCAGCTGTGATTTCAGCCCCACCTCTGCGTATGGGCAACCCACTGCTGTCTGCTTCTGGGGGCACAGGGCAGTGGCTGGGGCACACGAGCCTGCCCAGGCAGGAGGGGACCGGGGTGTCTGGGGTGTGTGACCTGCCTGGGCAGGAGCCTGTCCTGGAGCCTGCATAGGCAGGAGCCGGCGGGTGGGGAAAGAGGCTGCGATGGCAGCCCCGCCTCTACCTTGGCATGCCACTTAACAATGGCGCTTCGCTTCTGTGGCGGCCCGGGGTTCTTCCGCAAACACTCCTGGTTGCTGCGCCCCACGCTCCAGCCCCTTCAGGCTGTCTCCACACAGCTAACAGCAGTCCTCTCCCTGGGTCTGTCGTCTAAACCCCGTGTTACAGCCCCCAGCCCCCACCTCATACCAGCGGACATGCGTCTCAGGCTGGGGCACACAGGGCGGTGGCACAGCTGTCCGTGTAGGTCTCTCTCTGTCCTGCCTGCTACTAACTGGTTGCTGTGCTCTCCTCCAAGCCTCTGTCCTGCCTGCTACTAACTGGTTGCTGTGCTCTCCTCCAAGCCTCTGAAGCTCCCTTTCTGTCCCGGCCGACCTCCTCACTGGTGAGGCTTCCCTGGGTGCGGGAACCTCTCCTCTCCTTCAGCTCCACCCCCGCAGAGGCACAGGTCTCGTCCCACTTCCTCTATTGTTTTTTTCCTTTGTCCTGCCCAGTTACTTGGAGATCTTTCTTGTCCTTTGAGGTGTTTGAGGTCTTCTGCTAGTTTTCTGAGAGCATTGTTCCATTCATAGATGTATTCTTGATGTTTTTGTGGGAAGAGGTGAGTTCCACATCCTACTACTGACCATCTTGACTCTGATCGCTAGTTTGATTTTCTTTTTTTCATTTCTCAAGTTAGAAGGTTAGGTTATTGATTTGAGATCTCTCTTCTTTTTCATATAGGCATTTATGTCTATAAATTTCCCTCTAAGCACTGCTTTAGCTGAAGCCCATAAGTTTTGGTATATTGTGTTTTTGTTTTCATTCATCTCAGTTTTTTCTTTCTTTCTTTCTTTTCAAAAATTATTTATTTATTTATGTGGTCGTTCTGGGTCTTAGTTGTGGCAGGTGGGCTCCTTAGTTGAGGCTCGCCGGCTCCTTAGTTGTGGCATGCGAACTCTTAGTTGTGGCATGCATGTGGGATCTAGTTCCCTGACCAGGGATCGAACCCATGTCCCCTGCATTGGGAGCGTGGAGCCTTATCCACTGCGCAACCAGGGAACTCCCCATCTCAGTATTTTCTAGCTTCCCTCGTGATTTCTTCTTTGGCCTGTTGGTTATTTAGGGGTATAGTCTTTAATTTCTACGTGTTTGTGAAATTTCCAAATTGCCTTGTTACTGATTTGTAATTTCATTACATTGTGGTTGAAGAACATACATTACATGATTTCAGTTCTTTTCAATTTATTGAGGCATGTTTTATGGCCTAACATATGGTCTGTTCTGGAGAATATTCCAGGTACACTTGAGAAGAATATATATTCTGCTATTGTTGGCTGAGAAAGAGTATATAATTAAATTTACTTGGGATTTAAAAATACCTTGTGGTGAATCTTTTTGCAAAGTAGATTTGTTTTATAAAAGTGTTACTGTTGGGCTTCCCTGGTGGCGCAGTGGTTGAGAGTCTGCCTGCTGATGTAGGGGACGCGGGTTCGTGCCCCGGTCCGGGAAGATCCCACATGCCGTGGAGTGGCCGGGCCCGTGAGCCATGGCCGCTGAGCCTGCGCGTCCGGGGCCTGTGCTCCGCAACGGGAGAGGCCACAACAGTGAGAGGCCCGCATACCACAAAAAAAAAAAAATGACACTGTGGGGCTTCCCTGGTGGCGCAGTGGTTGTGAGTCCGCCTGCCAATGGAGGGGACACGGGTTCGTGCCCCGGTCCGGGAAGATCCCACATGCCGCGGAGTGGCCGGGCCCGTGAGCCATGGCCGCTGAGCCTGCGTGTCCGGAGCCTGTGCTCCGCAACGGGAGAGGCCACAGCAGTGAGAGGCCCGCGTACCGCAAAAAAAAAAAAAAAAAAAAAAAAGTGTTACTGTTTTATTATAAAGCTGGATTTTTAAACACAGTTTGAAGAATTAAGTGAGATATTTGGAACTTGGAAAGAATAATGACATAATATACTGTATAATACTGTTATATATATATATACACATATATATGTGTGTATATATATATATATATATATATATATATATGAATGAAGTACCGATAGCTTGTCTCTTGGTATCACCTCCATGTCACCTCTGTTCTTAGTAGGTAAGAGATGGAAATCAGAATGATGGGTGCTGGTCGGAAACAATTAAGTATAATTTGTAGTTAATGATATCCGTTCTCCCCAGATAAACTAGAGGGGTGCCCAGGAAGTAACCAACCACTACCCTGCCATAGCTGGAGGACAGCACACTTTCTAAATCCTTTCCAAATGATTTTGTTAGGACTAGTGGCTTTTGGTGTAGCCCTCTCAGGAGGGATTGCTGGGGAGTCTTGGGGCCCTGGGGTGAGGGTGTAGCTGTCTCCTGTGTCTCTGAAATGCAGCTTGGAGCAGAGAGGAAAGATAAGAGTGTCGATGTTGAATTGTTTAGATGAGCACTGTCCTACAGAGACAGAATGTGAACGCCAACCACATATGAAATTTTACATATTTCAGTAACCACATGGAAATACCAAAAAGAAACAAGCAAAATTAATTTTAAGAATATGTCCAAAGTATACTGTAACATTGGCAATCAATGTAAAAAAAATGAGGTATTTTACGTTCTTTTTCTTTTTCACGCCAAGCCTTTGAAATGGGGTGTGCATTTTACACTTACTGTGCATCTCGGTGCAGACGAACCACGCGTGGCTCCCCCGCTGGACAGAGCAGGTTTAGGTAAGTAGAGAAAAGGCAATGTCCTCACCCACTAATACTGTTTTCTCCTCCCCTAGGCGGTGAGAAGCTTCTGGGGCCTCAGCGGCTGGAATGTGACCGAACCACAATTGAGGACTGGGTGTTCAGGGCCCCCCACGTGGCCACGTTTCTGAGCGTGGTCATCCACCAAGGCTTCCTCCTCCTGTGCTCGTCCCTCGATCTGGCCGCCCTGGTCCCCGAGCGCCAAGTCGACCAGGAACGGAAGTTTGCGAGCGTCCTGGATGTCCTGTCCGTCATCTACATCAACTCCCACCTGCCCAGGGAGCAGCGGCAGCACTGGCGCCTGCTGTTCTCATCCGAGCTCCACGGGCACAGCTTCGCCCAGCTCTGCGGGCGCATCACACACTGTGGGCCCTGCGTGGTGCTGCTCGAGGACCATGACGGCCATGTGTTCGGTGGCTTTGCTTCCTGCTCCTGGGAGGTCAAACCTCAGTTTCAAGGTGAGTCTTGGCCACCAAAGCCCCACATGGTAGCACCAGCGCTCGTTACAAGTTCTGGTCAGACGGCTGCTGTGTGGAGACCTCCGAGCCCCGCCAGGGGACGTGCATGTTTCTTCCATCTCCTCCCGCAAGCGTTTTGCTAGACGTTTTTGGGAGGGTAGTGAAACGTGGTGTTTCTTTATGATGGTTTAACTTCATGGATTCCTTTATAGATTCTGGCTGCAGGGTCAGGTAAGCAGGACAGCTGTCCTCACCCCTGGCTTTCAGGTGAGGAAACAGCGGATCAGCATTAAACGACGCCAGGTCCTGACCTCCGGCGAGGCTGGGCCGTAGGTGCTGCGTAGGGGACTGGGAGATGCCGGCTCTTGCAGGTGGGGTGTGTTTTGTCGGAGGACCGTCTTCCTTTCCTGGAACCCCCTGTGTGGGTCTGCTTTGCTGCTTCTGCCCGTAGTTTTTCGGTTTTGTGATTTTGCTGGAGATTGGAAGCTCTTTGCTAGACCTTGAATGCCCTGGATCAAAGGCCCTGATGAAATACTTCCCCTCCTCAAAGAACTACTCTGATAAACGCTCTTAAAGGACCCTTTGAAAATGCTCATCTCCTGTCAGTGGGCTGTTCTTGTACTCAGAGGTGAACCTGTCTTCCCAGGATTGATGTCACGGTGTGTCCCCTGGGACCTGCCCCGGGCTGCCCGAGTCTCTGTTCTCAGAAGGTCTCCTGGGGGCCAACAGCTGTGAGATGGAGGCCTTTTCCTAGTGGCTCTGAGCAGCCAGATACAGGCCTGTCCTCACTCCCCTCAGCTAAATGGGGCAGCCTGGCCGACGCAGTTCCAGGGAGAGTCCCTCCCAGTGAGGGGGCGAGGCTAACACCCTCCCTGGCTGGGTCAATGGAAGGGAGAACCCAGGGTCCTGAGATGCGAAATACGGGGGAGAAAGGCCACGTGCTCCTCTGGGATGGGGGCTGCACATCGTAGCCAGACAGCTGTCAGCTGCATCCACTCTGCCTGCGTCCTCGCTCCCCCTTCTCTCCCCCCCACTCTCACCTGCATTGCTGCGGGTGCCTTCTGCCTGGCCCTCGCCTCCTGGTCTCACCCGTCCAGTTCATTTGCCACATCCCAGCCCACCTGCCGTGGTGCTTGTCCCCTGGAGACCCTTGGACGGACCCCCAGTGCACTCAGAATGGTGAATCCTTTATCTCCAGCCTCACGACCTCTACTGTGCCCTCTGCCCTGGGCTCAGTCTCACTGAATTACCCAAAGTTTCCAGAACAGGCCGCAGTCTCATCTCAGGACTTGGCACATGCTGCCTTTTCTCCCTCTTCCACCTATTTACACAGTCAGCTCCTTGTCGGGACTCAGTCCAGGGTCACCTCCTTCAGGAAGCCTTCCTGACCACACGAGTGCCAGTTAGTCCCTGCGGTCCTCTACGGGACTGCACGCTTCTGGAATTGTTCCCACCTTCCTTGCACCAGGGAAGCTTCTGCTGGTTGGGGAGCCGTGTCCAGGTGCAGAGGTGCCATTACGGGAGAGGTTTTAGCAGTGGTGGGGTGGCCCTTGTCTGGGGTGGGTGGAAGGGATCATGGTGTGAAGGCTGGGTGCCTTCATCCCTGAGATCCTGTTGTTTCCAGGGTTTGGTTTTCTCTAGGTTTTAGATTGTTCTAGATCTTTAATCCAGCTGTTGCTACCAGCCCTTCCCCACTGCGTCAGGGTCCCTTAAGACCACCCACATATCAGTGAGTCGCTAGGAGGACTCGGGGACGCAGCACACAGCTGTCATCACAGCTGATCTATTACAGTGAGAGGGTGCAGAGCACGATCAGCTCAGAGGCTGGGTAGGGGTTGGGGGGATGAAGTCCGGGGGAACCAGCCTCCAGCATCCTCTCTAGTGGGGTCGCACAGGACGCGCTAAATTCCCCCAGCCGCGAGCTGTGACAGCACGTGTGCAGTGTCGTCCATCAGGGATGCGTTAGAGCTTCAGCGCGCAGGATCTTTATTCGGGGGGCCGCTCACACGAGCACCCTCTGACTGACGCGCACGCAAACCCCAGACTCGCAGGAGGACAGCAGGAGTCCCGCACTGCCACCCCCACCCCCCCCCCCCGCCGTCTGTTCACACGGCTTAGGCACAGAGAGCCGCTCATCAGTCCTGGAAGGGGGGGACCCTCCCCAAATCCACCTTCCCAGACGCCAGCCAAGGGCTGACCCTGGAAGGCGGCCCTTCTGGGGACCCCAGTCTGGAGCCTGGGCTTCCACACACCCAGGTCTCTCTGTCACGGTGTCACGGGGAGGGGCTCTGGGGGGGGTGACGGGCTGGGTCTCTGTGTGGTTGGAGGATGTGGAAAAACCCTGAGAATCATTATCATAGATGGAACTTCCGCTTCTTCCAGCTCTTTTAGTATTAACTCCAGATGTAATGTCCTGAAGATATCAATTAAGTCTAACTGTTCTAATGTATGATTTGGGACCTCTGTTGCCTTATTGATTTTGTGTCTCAAAGATCTATTCATTGATGTGAGTGTGGTGCTAAAGTCTCCTACTATTACTATATTCCTGTCAGTTTCTCCCTTTATGTCTGTTAGTATTTGTTTTCTGTATTTGGGTGCTCCTATATTGGGTGCATATATGTTGACAAATGTAATATCCTCTCCTTGTATTGATCCTTTTATTATTACATAGTGTTCTTCTTTATCTTTCTTTATAACCTTTGTTTTAAAGTCTTTTTTGTCTGATATGAGTATTGCGGCCCCTGCTTTCTTTTCATTTCTGTTTGCATGCAGCATCTTTCTCCATCCCCTCACTCTTAATACATGTGTGTCCTTTGCCCTAAAATGGGTCTCTTGTAGGCAGCATAGACTCTTGTTTTTTATCCAGTCTACCACTCAGTGTCTTTTGATGGGAGCATTTAGTCCATTGACATTAAGGTAATTATTGATAGATATATATTTATTTCCATTTTAAACCTTGTTTTCCTGTTGATTTTATATTCTTTTGTCCCTTTTTCTTTTTCCTTTTGTGCTTTGATGCTTTTCTTTTGTATTATGCTTATGGTTTTTTCTTTTTGATTTTTGTGACTCTGTTGTATGTTTTTGATTTGTGGTTGCCCTGTTTTTCAAGTTATGTTAACCCCTTCATTTACCTACTTGCTTTAGACTAGTAGTCACTTAGGCTCAAACACATTCTAGAAAAATAATTGTGATTTTCTCTTTCCTATAGATTCTTACTACTTTTCTATTTAGAGAAGACCTTTCAATATTTCTTTTAGGATAGGTTTAGTATTGCTGTATTTTTTTAGCTTTTGCTTGTCTGAGAAATTCTTTCTTTCTCCTTCTATTCTAAATGATAATCTTGCCAGGTAGAGTGTCCTAGATCACAGATATTTCCCTTTCAGGACTTTGAATATATCTTGCCACTCCCTTCTGGCCTGCGACGTTTCTGTAGAGAAATCAGCTGATAGCCTTATGGGGGTTCCCTTGTCATTAACTCTGTGTTTTTCTCTTGCTGCCTTTAGAATCCTCTTTTTTATGTTTAACTTTTGACATTTTTATTATCATATGTATTGGTGTAGGTATTTCTGGGTTTATCTTGTTCAGGACCCTCTGTGTTTCCTGTATCTGCATATCTGTTTCCTTCTTTAGCTTTGGGAAGTTTTAAGCCATAATTTCTTCAAATACGTTTTCAGTCCCCTTTTCTCTTTCTTCTCCTTCTGGGATCCCTATTATGTGTAGATGGGCATGCTTTACATTCTCCCATAGGTCTCTTGTATTGCTTTCATGTTTTTCACTTGGCTTTCTGTCTGATGTCCTGATTGGATGATTTCCTTTACTATATCTTCCAGATCACTTATTCGTTCTTCTGCATTATTTATTCTGCTATTCATAGCCTTTGGTTCTGCTTTTGTCTCAGCAAATGAATCTCCTAATGTTTCTTGACTCCTCATTATAGTTTCTAGTTCCTTTTTTACAGTAATCTGCATTTCTATCGATAGCCTTTCTTAGTTCCTTCAGTATTTTCATTATCTCCTTTTTGAACTTGGTATCTATTAGACTGAAGAGGCCTGTTTCATTGTTTGTTCTTTCAGGGGAATTCTCTTGATCTTTTCATTGGGAGTGGTCCCTCTGCTTCTTCATTTTACTTATATTTCTCTTGCTCTATGAGTTTAGGAGAAACATTATCTACTGTGGTCTCGGAGGGCTATTTTTATGTGGGAGTGTCCCTGCGTAGCCTGCATGGGTTTAATATTTTTTTGGGGGCAAGGGCTGTTTTCAGTATGGATGCCTGCTGCCTCTTTCCTCAGTGTGTGCTGGCTGTCATCCCCTTGACAGGAGATGCGACTGGTGTTGCGGTGACCAGAGCCTGCACTGGACAATGAGTGGGGACTCCTCTTCCCTCTGTGGTTATCACTGCCCTGTCCAGGGCAGGGTCTGCTCTCTAGTTGTTGGTGTAGAAGCCCCTAGCTCTGTTTCTGATCTGCAGTGCAAGAATAGGCGGGATTGGAGCGCTCCCACTGGGAGAGGAGCCACTGAGTATTACTGTGCTGGAGCTGTTCACCTGTGAGTGTGTCACCTTTCACCTGCTGTGCGGGCTCACAGAGTACACTGTTGTTGGCACTGCCCTCAGCCCCACCTCAGCTCTGGGTGTGCTGGCAGTCAGCCCTGGTGCCTCTCAGGCTTTGTTTTCACAAGGCCACCAGCGTAGATCCACTGAAGTCAGGTCCCAGGACTGTAGTTGTTACATACCTGGACGCACTGTGGGAGCTATGGATGCAGCTCAGACCCTGGCCCAGCCCAGCCCCTGCGTGTACGTGCCCACAAAGCCCACAGCTGCTGAGGCCAGACCCGTCCCAGCTGCGGGAGCACCAGTTGTCTGTTTGGTTGCTCCACAGGCACTGAATTTACAAAGTCGGCCATGGAGGTATAAATGCAAGGTTCACGCAGCCGTGGGGAGAGATTTCAGCTCTGCTTCCTAAGTCACACGGCCTGTGGGCCTCAGCTGTGATTTCAGCCCC